ACACTCGTCCTGCAACCTAGCGGACAAGTTCACATCTCCAGCACCGGGGAAAGTGTGAGAGTGTGAGCCTAGGACCCAGCACTAGCGGGAGCAGTTAGGCAGATCCAAGAGCTCGCTGTCCAGTGCGCACGGCCAAGGCAAGCGCAGTTCGGCAAGACTGTCTCAAAGCAGTAAGATGGGAGACAGCCCTGCCGTGACCCCACGTACCTGTGCATGCGCACCCAGACCCCTACATTACCGTATGTACCACACACAAACACCACACACAAAAAGAAATGAAGAATTGCTACGTGCTACATCACAGGGCAACTACAAAGACATTACGTTCAGTAAAATACGGCAATCCGGGCCCATGCTTTGTATGAAATGTGCAGAGCAGGCAAATCCAGGGGAGCAGAAAAGTTAGCAGTTGCTGAGGGCTGGTGGGAAGGGAAGCAGGGTAGGGAGTGACTGCTAATGGGTCTGGGCTTCCTTTTGAGGATGACGAAATATTCTAAAATGTTTGAGAGCAGAAATAATGGTGACATGATCGATCCTGCGACCGTGTAAAAAACGGGCAGCTTATTATGTAAGTTTTTTGTTGTTGTTTTTGGAACAGGGCCTTGCAATATAGTCTTGGCTGTCCTGGAACTTACTATGTAAACAAGTGTAAGTTTCTGAAGGTATGAAAATATCATAATATAAAGGATAGGCCAGGAAATGGTGACGCACACCTTTAACCCCAGCACTCGGGAGGCAGAGGCAGGCGGATCTCTGTGGTGAGTTCGAGGCCAGCCTGGTCTATAGAGCGAGTTCCAGGACAGCTAGGGATATACAGAGAAATCATCTCAAAAAACAAAAGATATAAAAATTAAATATGGTTGCAAACTCAGTTTCTCAGGTCCCTGGCACAGGGTAGCTGAGCAGCCATTGAACTGTGCCACCCTTTTCTGACCCCTAGTCTCCTGCACCGAAAACTCAGAGCGGTTCAAATGCCTGCCTCTATGAAACCTCCCCTGGCCGCCCAGCTTCCACCTGCCCCAGCAGAGTTCATGCCCCTCGGCCTCGATTAGCACCTCCACTGGAGAGCAAGCCCTCTGCGTTACAATCCCTGTATGTGTCATCCCCCTCCCCCATGCCCGACCATCAGATCCTTGAGGTAAGGGATTCTGTCCCACGTTTGATGATTCCCAGGACCTGCTGGAGTTCAGAAATGTCCACTGAATGGAATCCCATCAGAAAGGTTCACTCAGGAAATGATTTGATAAAATGCTCACTTTGGAATACCAAACAGTCAACAAAAACAAAGAAAAGGAGCTAGATTTTTGTAAACCACACAATCCTACTGTTCTACAAGAAGCTATGACAGTGACTGCCCTGAAATGCTATTTGTATGACCAGAGGAAGTTCAAGGTTATCTATCCTAGACTACACGGCAGGTTCAAGACTGGCTTGGGCTACATGAAACCCTGCTTCCAAATAACAGGGGAGAGGGTGTGGAGGACGGAGCAGGGCGTGTGGTGCTTCCGTATCCTAGTACTCAGAGGTGGGGCATGAGCATCCCAAGGCTGCAGCTTAGGAATGGAGTAGTGGTCCTATCTAAACTAAAACCTAAACATGAGAGAGAAGCAAAGCAGGCGTGAAATCCAGGATCGTGGTGAGAAAAGGCAGAAAAGGACTCAACCGAGCTCAGAGTTTTGAAGCTGCCAGAGGAACTCTTAAGGAGGGCACTGTAGGCTGCACCCAGACCCCCAGCTGGATCCCCTAATGGGGGATCTGCTAAAACTTGATTTTAAACAGCATGGTCCAGTGGTCTGGTTGCATCTAAACATCGAAGGAAAGCAAGTCTATGTTATCTCAAGCATAAATTAACTAAGGCCTTCCTGTTTGCAAACTGCAGCTTTTTTAATCTTTTCAGATTCAAGGAATCCCATCTATGAGTCACGATGCCTTAGGACAGAGTTACACAGAAGTTCCTAACTGTAGCTGTCCCTAGGCTGATAAACTTTCCTAGTCTGCATGGCAAGAGATGATCACTATGAAGAGCTGGTGATAGGAAAAGCCACCTGTAAATATATATAGTTCAAGGGATATATATATATATTGTTTGAGGCAGGGTTTCTCTGTAGCTTTGCAGCTGTCCTGGAACTCACTCTGTAGACCAGGCTGGCCTCCATATAGTTCAAATATTAAATGTGCATGCAGCTGGGCATGGTGGTATACACCTGTAACCCTAGCACTTGCAAGCTGAGGCAGGAGGATCATAGGAGGCCTAATTAACACACCCAACCAGGCTGGTAGCTAATAAGAACCTGTCTAAACTACACCTAGCCTGGCCAAAACAGATACCTACCAGAGGCCTAGTGGTTATGGTATTAGACTGCTAAACCCAGCAAAAGAAAAAAAAAAAAACAAAAACAAACAAACAAACAAAAACAGAAAGGAAGAAAAAGATGGCATTTGACAGATTCATTTCAGGGTGACATAGTGAGGTACCCACACCACATTCCACAGAGTTCAAGGTGCCACCTGAGTGCCCGGGGGTCACTATAGAAATATAGATGTTCCCTGACAAATGCTCTCTGTAACTTTTTTCCCTTTTTGGTGTTCACAAACCAAAACCCCAAACCAAAACCCTAAATTGACTAAGCTGTGGTGGATTCAGAGTTAATAATTATATCGGAACTTCTATTCCAAAGGTTAGAAACCAAAACTCGAATTTCACCATAGATATGTGGTTTGATTGATTGGACAGAAGGGCACGGTGGATCAGGGGTGAGACGAAGTGTAAAGGGTGTCCGGCTGATGTGTGGAAAGGGTAGGAAGGAGTGAGCAGCTCGTAACGCAAACTTTCCCTCTCTACGGGAACTGCATGTAACCACACAACAGCTGTGGTTATTGCTAGCACCCAACCAAATGGAACAAAGTACAAAAGCCACCCTGTCCCCAAAATAAGTATTGGAAGTGCCAGAAATATAAGAAAGCAGCCTGTGATTGACAAGCTCTAATTGGAACCCTTCACCCAGGACCCTCTTCCACATCTCACCACCCCCAGGCTCCAGGATGTGGCAGGAACCACCACTTTCCAATTCTTTTCCTTGAAGAAGTGGGTCCGGTTCCTACAGCAACCAGCCCCACCTCCAAACGCCCCACATTCCCAAGGCAACCCCACTGCCAAGGTGCTTGAATGGCTACAGGGAACGGCTCTCAGGGTCCTCCCCAGAAATGGGAAACCAAGTTCATTCTGTATTCTGTTCTGCCAACGCCTGTACTTAGCTTTAGCAGTCCTGCCAGTTACAGTTTTAACTAAGAAAACAACCTCAACAAAGACTAAAGACCAAAGGTTTTCACGCCTAGAAAGGAGTACCTGCAACATCATAAATGAGCTCTATTTTTCTTCGCATATCATTTCCCAGATAAATACACGCCCCATGAGACACGGCAACAGACATAAGGTGACATACAAATAACCGTGCACGCATAAAGGGAGACCCTATTTGGTCACAATGTGGATGAACCTTAAGGACAAGATGGTATGTGGAAGAGGCCAAACACTACACACCCCACACACTGTAGCTTTCCATTACATAAAACCAGGACAGGTAAATCCACAGATAGAGTGCAGACTGGGGGGCTGGGAGGTCAAGAGCTGGCTCGCAGGGTTGGGGTGAGGGGCATGGACAGGGAGTAACTGGTTAATAGGGACAGGATTTTCTCTGGGATGATCCAACTGTTTTGGAACTAGATAGAGGCGGTGGTTGCACAACACTGTGAATGTACTGAATGCCACTGAGTGATTTGCTTTAAAACTGCTGATTTTGTTATGTGAATTTCAACTCACTTAAAAAAAAAAAAAATCTATCAAATCACAGAGCTTGGGTGGCCGAAAGAAAAGGACCTTGAGTTCAAGGCCAGCGTGACCTACACATCGAGATCCTGTCTCAAACAAAACAAAACTCAATCATCTGTGGGTTTTGTTTTTTGTTTTAGGAAGAGGACACTCGGGAACAAAACAAGATCCATATGAGAAAGGGCCACCCTTAAGCTTTGGGGGCAAGGTAAGTACTTTGCTAGCAACTTCTGTTCTTCATCAGAGTGAGGCTAAGCGTTAAGTTGTACAGCCTGTCCCTGTGCTGTCTGTGTGTGCTAATGCTTTCCTGAAAAAGAAAAGACAATGAAGGGAATAAAGTGAAGAAAATAAAATGATAGAGCCTTGGCCAAACTTACCAGAGGAGGGGTTGGCTCCCCCTACAGCACCCCACCCAATCTGGCACCAAGAGTAACGCTTCAATTAGAGTTTCGAAAGGCCAGCCCGAGCTAGAATCAGCACAAGCAAGCTTCCCTGCCTGGAAAAGAGCAAGCCACCCAGCAAGACAAGCTAGGGCGCTACACTTGCTGCCGATATGGTCATCGGCGCCACCCTTTGCCCAAAAGCTGGCTCGGATCAGCACCAGTGACTTGTTCATTCTAACCAGGGCAGCCAGCCTAACAGCACCGGCTTCTCACGGCTCAGGTGTATCCCTCCTCCTGAGGGGTTCCTCTTTCCAACCTTCCAAGAACCCCACCTCCAACGTGCCATGCCTTACAGCATTAAAAATAGAGCCAAGATGCCCTCAGAACTTTCCTTTGTCCAGCCTGAAATAAATATCCTGCTGGGCCCTCCTCCTTCTGGGGCCAGTTCAGCGACCTGTGATGCCTACACACACTGGCGTGCAGTCTTTGGCTCCTGACTCCACTGCGGAGCACAAATGACCCCACACGCGCCAGTGTGCAGCTGAGATAGTCCCTCCAGGGCACCTACCATACCTGCCCTCTCAAAAGACCTGTGCCATCTTCCTGACATCCAAATCGTCACAGGTGTCCCTCAGCTAAACACCAAAGCTCCCTTCACCCTGCCCATGCTAAGCATGGGCGTTCCTCCCGAGAGCACTCAACTCTTTGCAACAACCCTCCTTGAGACCCCCTCCAGCCAGGCCTCGACCACCCGGACCCCCAGGCTGGCCCAGACGCCCTCCCCTTACCTGCGGGGGCTCAGCCCTGACTGACAGGGGGCTGGGCAGCGCCTGGAGGAGCAGGAGCGCCATGCCACCCAGGAGCCGTCTCCTCTCCATCCCCCTCCTGCTCCTGCTCCTCCGCCACGGCGCCGCCACCCCTCCTCCTCCCTCTCTTCTTCCCTCTGCTTCCTTCTTCCCTTCTTTTCCTGTTTCGCTCTCCCCTCCCGCTTCCGGCTCGGCTCCACCCCGCCCCAGGCAAGATGCCCTCCCAGATGCGGAGGAGGGTCTCCAGCTGCCGCGCCTCATTGGCTCCTACCTTTCGTCCATTGGTCCAAATAGCTGTGTGTCTGGTATTAGTCCCAGCCCCCCTCGTGCTGGGTGATTTAGCCAATGAAAAGTGGGAGGAAGCCGGGCCATCTTGAATGCTGCGAGGTGCATACAAGTGCAGTGCGCCCCGCCCCACAGAGAGTGGCGGAAGTGCCGGAGCTGGGGACGGGACCATCCGGATGCACTGCAAATGCTTACCAAATGTAGCCATTTTGAGTGTGGCGGAAGTGTTAGGTTCCCACAGATGGGGGTGGGGAAAAAAAAAAAAAAAAGGTGCTGAGATGTGATTCTAAGAGGTACCTCTAAAGAATCTGGTGCCTTTTGTTTTTGTTTTAAGCTGCAGGCAGCCCTATTATCAAGATCCATTTTCCAATCTCACTAACTAAGCAGCATCTTAGGTCCATTTAAATTCCCTATTGGATAGTAATTAGAGACAGTGCTCTGCCATCCCAAATTTTAAGGACAAAACTCTTATGACTCTACTCAGAAACAGCTCTGATACCCATCACCCATTGTTTCAGCCATGTTAACTTCCAGCTAAATGGAAATGGATTCCCTGTGCCCTGCAAGCTCTCAAACCCCATCCACACACCACAAGGACAGTACCAGCCCACACAAACCCAAACATTACTATAGAGCAGCTTCGCCTTTGACAATACTCATCCGACTGGGTGGGGGATACACCGCTTTGTTGTAATGGGCAAGGCCCTGAGCTGAATCCACAGTGTGAGCCATAAGGAAAAGAGAAAGGAAAGAGATAAAGCGAGGGAAAGAGGGAAGAAAAACAAGAAATAAAATAGACTAGACTTCAGCTGAACCGTGGTGGTGCACACCTTTAATTCCAGGACTCGGGAAGCAGAGGCAGGTGGATCTCTGTGAGTTCAAGACCAACGTGGTTTTCAGAGTGAGTTACAGAACTGCCAGGGCTACACAGAGAGACCATGTCTGGGAAAGAAAGAAACAAACAAAAGCTATCTATAAGAACAGGCATGCCAAGAGGCTTGAAGATCTGGAAAGCTAAGGCAGGTTGATCTTTACAAAGAATACAGTAAGAAATTTTTCTCAAGTTCTGATGTTTCTTTTCCGGTTTGTCTGTGGAATAAGAAAGCTGAAGTCAAGTCTCCCATCTTTAAAAAACTTTAAAAAGTTGGAGAGATGGCTCAGAGGTTAAGCACACTGACTGCTCTCCTAGAGGTCCTGATTTAAGTTCCAGCAACCATATAGTAGCTCACAACCATCTCTATATGAGATCTGGTGCCCTCTTCTGGCCTACAAGCATACATGCAGGCAGACTACTATACATAATAAATCTTAAAAAAAAAAAAAAAAAAAAAAAAAAAAGATGGCTGGAAAACAGACTTCCCTACTCATGTACTAGCCAGCATCAAGCTTCCCATCATAACTTGAAGGAAACCTATAGATTCGCTAAGCAGAAGCCAGAAACAGAAGAGAAGGCCCATAGGAGATTTGATTGACAGGCACATCTGAAGACAGTTAATAGAGCTGGAAGGGGATAGGGCTATAAGAGAATGAGGAGTAACTGCTAATGAATTTGGGATTCCTTGGAGGGATAAAGAAAGTATTCATAATTTCAGTAGCAAACACTGTACAACTTTGTGAATAGACTGAAAATTACTAAACCATACATTTTTTTTTTTAAATTGGCTTTTAGAGACAGGATTTCTCTGTGTAGACTAGGCTGGCTTCAAACTCACAGAGATCCACCTGCTTCTGCCTCCTGAGTGCTGGGGTTAAAGCATATGTCACCACTTTAAACCATAAATTTAAGGATGAATTTAGCCAGGCATGGAAGCACACAGCTGTGATCTCAGCACTCAAGGCTGAGGTAAAAAGACAGAAGTCCAGGGTAGCCTGGGCTCCAACCAAAAGGAAACGCCAGTTTCATCGTGTGCGTGCTTCATTTTAAAATGGTGTGGAGTTCAATTGCAGCTTCAATCTTAGCATCAAGGATGCTCTCCCCTGTAGTGCAACTGTGGTACCAGATGGACAGGAGCATGACCAGGAAATGGGTGCAGACCTGGAAGCTGCTGAGAGCCTTTCCTCTTGTGTTTCCTCAGTATCGTCATCGTGACCCTGGTATACCTTTTACCCCTTTGAGGCAGGGTCTCTCTGTTGCTCTGGCTGGCCTGGAATGTGCTATGTGGAGCAGGCTGGCCTCAAAATCTCGGACGATCCACCTGCCTCTGCTTTCCCAGTGCTGGAATTAAAGGCCTGCCCAGCTGGGCCTACTATATGGTCCTAAGAGCCACAGTTGCAGGGTAGGGGAGACACATACAGAGTCTCTATCGAATATTCTAGTCCTTCTCTTTTTATAACCCTTTAAGAGATGTAAAAACCATTTTTAGTTCCCAAGAGCACACAGAGAGAGAGCGAGTATGCAGGTGAGTTTGGCTGTTATGGCTCATCAAGCCCAGCCCTATGACAGCACAAATCCCAATGTGGGAGACCAGTGGAGCATCAGTACAGGTGGGTGGATTCTTCTCCCTTATTAGGAAAAGGAATGGTCTCCAGCCATCAGGCAGGTTCCCGTATAGTCGTGATATCCTCTCAGGCCAAAGTCCTATGTACATCCTGTTTTCTTCCCATCAGGAATTAGTAGCTTGGTTTTCAGTCAGTGTTTCGTGTTCTTTCAAATCGTTTATTCAATTCACAAGGACAGTGTTTGAACAGAATCAGCAAACCTTAACACACACAACTCATACACACTGACCCCAGGTGAGCCACAGCCCCCAGGGAGCTCACGGAACAAGACAGGGGCTAACGCAGCGCTTTGCTGCTGCTCTCTTTAGGCTCTTGGATCCTCAATGCTTCCCTCTGAGGTGTGCAAGCCCAGCTCCCCTGTTCTATCAGTACTCACCAGGCTTTCTTTGGTATTTAACCTAATGGGCTCAGGCAGGGAGGCCACCAGGAAATCATTCCCGTTAAAATGTGTGTCGGGTGCCTTCAGTCAGTGAGGGAACTAGCAATGAGACTAGAGCCTTCTCTCAGAGTAAGGGTCCAGAAGTGGATCTAGACACGACTTTAAGACAGGACAAAGGCCTTCTCTCAGAGTAAGGGTCCAGAAGTGGATCTAGACACGACTTTAAGACAGAGCAAAGGCCTTCTCTCAGAGTAAGGGTCCCAGAAGTGGATCTAGACACGACTTTAAGACAGGACAAAGGCCTTCTCTCAGAGTAAGGGTCCAGAAGTGGATCTAGACACGACTTTAAGACAGGACAAAGTCCTTCTCTCAGAGTAAGGGTCCCAGAAGTGGATCTAGACACGACTTTAAGACAGGACAAAGTCCTTCTCTCAGAGTAAGGGTCCCAGAAGTGGATCTAGACACGACTTTAAGACAGTCGTTGGCAAAGGGCTAGAACTTGATGCCCCACATAACTTTGGTGGAATGGCGTTTGCCTGGGCATGCTTAAGGCTCTTTGGTCCTGGTTGAATTGTGCTCAGATGGCCAAGTACAGCATCCTTTCCTCTGAGCACACGCCAGTCTCGGGTGTTTGTCCTACTCACCTGAGGAAAGGAACTATTTGTCCAGTTTTTTGTCCTTTTTAAGAACAAATAACTCTCAGTGACTGACACACTCAAGTCTAGCAGCATTCCCAAGGAGGCATCCCAGTAGGGTTACAATGGGAATGGTAGGGATGAGTCCGCAAGGGGATACTGACTGGTCCCTCTTCTGTTCCTGAATAGGAGCTGTAGAGATGGCTCAGTAAGTAAGAGCAGTAGCTGCTCTTCCAGAGGACCTGGCTTTGCTTACCAGCACCCCAGCACCCACGTGATGGCTCCAATCCCAAAGGACCAGACACCCTCTTCTGACCTCTGTGGATGCTGTGTGCAGAGGGACACACATGAAGGCCAAACACCCATACACATAAAATAAAAATAAAATGATAGCTTGGCAGTAGTGATGCACACCTATAACCCCAGCACCTGGGCGGTAGAGGCAGGTGGAACTCTGTGAGTTCGAGGCCAGCCTGGTCTACAGCGTGAGTTCCAGGGTGGCCAGGACTACACAGAAAAACCCTGTCTCAAAAAAACCAAATAAGAAAATATTGGTAATAATAAAGGTAAAATGATGAAAAGCCTTTCAAGAATCACGCAGGTAAACACTTCCCTTGCTTGGGAAGGAGGAAGTGGGAGGAAAGAGGAGGGGACTTAATACATCCACGGTCCTGACTGGAAAAGAATCACAGTTTTCTAATTACCCCAAACTGATACCAGCAGCGTCTGCTGAGATGGCCTCAGGGTCTGGTCCCAAAGGTCAGGGGTCCAGGACGAAGAAGACATTGTAGTTCCGTCCTTGTTCTCCTCCTACTTTTTTGAGACACTATCTCTAATTCAGGCGGGCCTCAAATTCCCCGTGTACCTAAGGCTGACTTCAAACGTGTAATCCTCCTGCCTCCACCTCCCCTCTCCATACACAGCCATGCCTGAATCGCATGGTGCCAAGGACTGAATCCAGGGCTTTGTGGATGCCACATCCCCAGCCACCTTGATCACCTTTTGAGTTTTTGCCCTCTAGAGTCCAAAACAAAGGCTGTTTACATGGAAACAGGAGTCATTTCCCACCCACCCACTCTACTTCCCAATCCAGCCTGGCTTTCAGACCTTACTGCAAAGAGGAATGAACGTGAACACAGGTATGCACAGCTGCCAGCGAAAAACTGGTCCGTGCAGGGCGTGGATTGGTCCTTGCAGACATGGAGCACTTAGAGACCCTTGTTAAAGTAGGCAAAGAGGACTTGTTCTCCATACTTGGCCTTGATGGTGTCCTGCAGCTCTGGTTCTAGATAAGAAACTGGTAATTTGCTGAAAAGGAAACCAAAAGGGGGTTATGAGGATGCTATTGCCCAAGACAACCAGCGATGTGCCTTGAGGAAAAAGCCCATTCCATATGATGTCACTTCTAGGAAGCCCATCCTCACTAGCGTTAACTGGTAACTTGACACAGTCTACAATCACCTGAAGAGAGGGTCTCACTTGAGTAACTGTATCAAGTTGGTCTGTGAGTAATGTCTTCATTGTTGAATGCGGGAGCACCTGGGCCACTGTGGGTGGCGCCATTCCCTGGGCAGGTGGCCTCAGGCTCTATGAGAAGCTAAGCATGAGCCTGTGTAAAAGAGCCAGCAAACACCATGCCGCCATGGCTTCCAGTTCAGTCTCCTGTTTGAGTTCCTGCTCAGCCTTGACACAGACACACAAGCCAAATAAGTCCTTCCCCTCCCAGGGAACCTGTCTCCCTGAAAGAGATCTCACACAGTTCTACGGGACGAGACCAGGACTGCTGAGAGGTGCATATCCTTGGCCCTGTAAACTCTTCTCTCATTTCAGAACCCAGGACCCCAAAGACAGACTTGGGGGATTTTCGTCGCTCCTCCTGATGTGACCACACTAAATTTTTTTTTTTCTGCTTTCCACTAAAAAAGGGGGGTTGGGGTTGGGGGCTGGAGAGATGACTTCCAGAGGGCTTGGCTTGCATAGCCAGCACTTTGCCAAGTGAGTCATCTCCCAGACCTTTTCTTATGTTTTTTGAGACAGGAATTGTTAGGAAAAAACTGGGTCTATATGTTCCAGGCTGGCCTTGAACTCTTGATCCTCCTGCTTTAGCCCCATGCCCTACCACCAGTGTGGGGCTGCAGTTCAAACTATACACTCACCTAATTCCTGATTTTTCCAGCCAAAATTATTATTGGCCTATGTGTCAGAATAAATGTTCCATTTTGCCTCTACATCCTTCTATCTAAAGTTCTTAGCTTAAACGTCTGTCGTTTCCATAAGTTTGAAAGCCCAGTGCTCGGGACACGGGAGGTGACTGGCAGGTGGCCAATGAACCCACACAGAGATCGAAACTGCGACAGCTCAGGTCCTACACCAGCTACACCTGTCTCCTGGAACCAGCTGACCCCAGACTGTCCTTTTGCCCTCATCTCTACTCCCACCCTCCCTTCCAGGGACACAGAGGAAGCTGCCACATGCTCGGCCGTGCACCGACCCCAACAGGAGGCAGAAGCAGCAGAATAAGCACCTCGGTCAACCTTAAAGACCAGATCCAGCCAGAAGTGACGTCCCGAACACTCACCCAGCAGGACAAGAAGTCCCCTGTTGCCCCACCGCTACCACCGCCGCCATCTCTGGGCACTGGGTCGAGGCTTCTCCCCCACCCCGAGAGACCTGGCTGGTGCGTCACGCACCCAGCCTTAAAAGGCCAGCGGCTAGGTGGCTAGGCACCTGTCCTTAGGAACATCTACTTTCCTGTCCACCCTTTCCTCGGCAGGTCAGCACGAGAGCAGCAGCAGAGTGTTCGATACAGCAAAACAGGCAACAAACGGCTGATACCATTCCTGAGGGAAGAGCCCACATGCTACTGGTACCATGAAGAGGAGGCTGTAAGGAAGGAGAAAAGCATCAGGGACATGTTCCCGAGGCCTGGCCACACCCATACAGTGGCCTGCCTTCCTTCTGCCTTCTCTACATCCTGTTTTGTTTTTAAGACAGGGTTAGGCTGTGGGCCAGGGGCAGGCTGAGGCTGAGGCTGGTTTTGAACCCTGATCCTCCTGCTCCGACCTCTACTGGGATGACATACCTGTTGGGAATTGAACTCAGGGTCTTATACACACTAGGAAAGCACTCTACCACTGAGCTGTTGTCTAGAAAACTCATCTTGACTTGGTGACAAAAATCAGTGTCCCTCCCCCTCACTCCAACCCCCATCCATTTCACACCCACATTCCAGTACTGGAATGGTTTACCACTGAGAGTGGTAAACTACAGACTCCAAGGTCACAGCCACCTGTGTCACTCAGGGAAAGGGACCATCACCAGGAGGGCATCTTTAACGGCACACTGGTCAATGCCCACGTCCCTAAGGACACTGGCATGATGTGCCATTTTTCCTGTATGCCAGGCTGGGATGTCAAACAGCCCCAACCAGCCTCTGCCTCCTCATCCTTGTTTCTTCTCTAAAACTGCTCTAGACCTGAGGCAGAACCTCAGGAGACCTGGGAGACCTGGGAGAACTCCAGCTTGGCCATCTGGGTGCTAGGATATGACAGGAGCCACTGGCTCAGCCTGGCCATTTTTGAAGACAGGTCCTGGGTGCTCCAGCCAGCTAGCAGACCCCAAAACACCTAAACAACATACTCACAAGCAGCCACACAGTAGGACCTGCAGCGGGGCATGCAGCACTCTGAGTCTCTGCACAAAACAAGAAAAGGACTCAGACACTACTGCAGACCCTGCCCCTACCCCACCAGCTACCAGCCTGAGGCTGGGACCTGCTGCCCTGGCAGGGGGAAGGGGTTCTCCTGGCTCTCTGCAGGAAGGTCAGGGAGCCGTTCTCATATCTGAAACGGGCCGGAAGAGGTGGGTACGGGCTCTACTGGAGTAAGATCCAGGGTGGTGGCTATGGGGAAGGGAGGGAGGGCAGTTTCTGGGGCTCTCTCTAGGCAGAGAGAACCCTCCTACCTTCATCAGACGCAGTCTCTCCAGCCGCTCCATGATGACCGGTAACAAGACTGGAAGAGACAGAGAAACTGGACTCTCGTCACATCACAGATGGTGTGTGTGTGTGTGTGTGTGTGTGTGTGTATGTGTGTGTGCGTGTGCGTGTACAGGTACTGCTTCCCAGCCTCCCCCAGTCTCACAGATGGGGTGTGTGTGTGTGTGTGTGTGTGTGTGTGTGTGTGTGTGTGTGCGTGTGCATGTACAGGTACTGCTTCCTAGCCTCCCCCAGTCTCCCGGAAATGTGTTTACCAGCCACAGAAGGCAGACACACACACACAGGGCCCAGAACCAAAGCATCCTTCTCAAAATGCAAACTGGCTTGCAGGCTTGTGCAAACATGTATCCTACTCTGCAACAGGCCCCTGCTGGAAACCGGGTGGGGTGGGGGGCTGCTTCTACCATCTACCACGTCTCCCAGGGACCCCACTGCTGTTTCCTGGATATCAGCTAAATGCTACAATAATACATATATTTGTTACTATTGTTGTTTTGTTCTGAGACAGGGTTCCTCTGTGACTTTGGACCCTGTCCTGGAATTTGCTCTGTAGACCAGGCTGGCCTTGAACTCAGAGACCCTCCTGCCTCTGCCTCCCAAGTGCTGGGATTAAAGGCTTGTACCACCATGGCCCGGCAAACTGGTATTCTAAGAACAAAGCTTTCAGCTATCAGGGAAAACAGCTTGAGAAGGTATCCACATCCCTCTGCCGGATACTCAAGGTCCCCTCCTAGAAGGTGTCTCCCATCTTACCCATGCCAGGTGCTGCCATCGTGATCCGAGAAATAACCACTTGGGTGATGCCCACAGCTGCAGCTCTCTGAGGACAGAGAAGAGATGCCAGGAAGCACTTATCAGGTGGGATGGGCTATACTAAAGAGGTAAATCGGGGTTCATGGCCAAGTCGGAGCAGGTAAAGGGGTGGGATGGGATGACCCCACCAGGAGGCATGTCCTTACCCAGCCCTCCCATCTGAAATGATACTGAAAGCCTGTTGTGAACAAGGATGTGGGGGAATTTAGGAGAAAATGAGGGTGGGCCTAGGAAGACTTCTCAAACCCATAATGGCACCCAGGTCACATGTGACCCCACCTAGAGGGGACAGGGTCTGAAGGGGATGTCTCTCCTCTGCTTACCTGAGAATGGCCAAGCTCGTTTTGATCCTTGTCCTTCACACAGATGCCCTGGATGAGCTCCCTAGGCAAAGAGAAGAGTCCAGACTTCAGCAAGCAGGGGCTGGGAATCTACCTGGCATAAGAGACCGATGCTCTAGATGCTCCCACAGCCTGGCTCGTCGGCCTCCCTTCTTCACAGCAATGAATGGTACCTCAGAGGTGACCCTGAGCAGCAGCCAAGAAAGCCAGGCCCTGTCCCCAGTGCCTTGGTGGACTCCTGAAGCTGTACAAGTGTGTGACCTTGATGGTGGTCTTTTACCTTTCCAAAGCTTCAGCTTTCCCTAGTGGGGAATGAGAGGCACCTACTTCATGGCACTTAGTAAGAACTGAATGAGGGGGCTGGAGAGACGGCTCAGAGGTTAACACTGGCTGCTCTTCCAGAGGTCCTGAGTTCAATCCCCAGAAACCACAAGGTGGCTCACAGCCATCTGTAATGAGAAGGGCGCCCTCTTCCGGCCTGAGGCATAAGTGCAGGCAGAACATTGTATACATAATAACTAAATTTAAAAAAAAAAAGAAGAATTGATTGAGCTACTAGCCAAGTTCTGAGTCGGGTGCCTGACTTAGTATCCACTGCCCAAACAGTGGAAGGATGTGCGTGCACAATTCTGCAAGCTCTTTCTCCGGGGGCTGCTGTGGTAAACCTCCATCTGCCAACAGACGGTGGCTGGAGATACAGACAACGATGGCAGTGGTGTCAAAGAGAACCAGTCCTTTTGTCACTTTTATTCTAGAAAAACACAAAAGGATAAAACAAAGAAACAGAAACTGGCTGGGGAGGCGGCTCCTAGCCACCCCTGGCTGGTGTGCACCAGCCTCTGGGCTCAGTACCCAGGCTGGCCAAGAGAGAGAAGAAGCCATTCCTATAACCCACAACAGCACTCGAGAGGCAGAGGCAGGAGATCAGCGCGAGCTCAAGGGCAGCCTGGCCTAACAGTGAGCTCTGGGCCAACCAGAACCACTCAGTGAGACCCTGTCTCAAAAGAGCAAAACTAGCACTGGAGAGATGGCCCAGAGGTTAAGAGCACTTACTGTTCTTGCAGAGGAGCCAAGTTCAATTCCCAGCACCCACATCAGGCAGCTACCGCCTGCCTATGGCTCCAGGGGAGTTTGGTCCACTGAGTCCAGTCTCTGTGGACACCTGCACTCACATGCACACACCCACACCCACATACACATACACCGCCAGACGGTGGCGGCAGAGGTAGGTGGATCACTGTAAATTCAAGCCCAGTTTGATTTACATAGTGAGTTCCCAAGTCAGCCAAGGATATGAAGTGAGTCCTTCTCTGAACAAACAAAACTCTGAAAGAAGACCAACAGGGGCTGGAGAGATGGCTCAGTGGTTAAGAGCACTGGCTGCTATTTCAGAGGTCCCGAGTTCAATTCCCAGCAACCACATGATGGTTCACAACCATCTGTAATGAGATCTGGTGCCCTCTTCTGGCCTGCAGGAACACATGCAGACAGCACACTGTATATGTAATAAACGAACAAATCTTAATACATAAATAAATAAAACTGTAAGATAGAATCAGTTTCTGCATTCCCCTTTGAGGAGTGCTTAGCCGGGCACCTGGGCACGCTGCCTCCTCTCCAGCTTCTCTGAGCACCTGGATGCTGTTCTAGATGCTCTGCTCTGTCACTTCTCTTCGATTAAGGCAGCCTACGTTTGGGAAGTTCACAGCTCTTACAGGGTCTAAGCTAGGGATGTAGCTTTGGGGATAGACTGCTTGCCTAGCATGCCTGAGGCACTGGGTTCAAGCCCTAGCACTCCCATTAAAAATTGTCTGGTCTTTATGTCCATGCTCAATGCATCTCACTTAACACAGGACACACTATGTTTAAATCTCCCTCCATTCTTTGGGATGTCAGCGCTTGAGCGCCTTGCCGAGGCTGGGCCCATTGGTCTTCTCCATCCTGCCCCAGTCCCAGCAAGCTAGAGGCTCATTGCCTTCGCTTCCCTGCTAACCCTGTGGTGGAGAAGAGCAAGGCTCCCTGTACTCACTGCTGTCGCATCATTGGGATATTGACACAGTTAGCGGCAGCCACAGCGGCAAAGGGCACCCATCGGCCCACCAAGGGCGGAGCTGTCTGTTGGAGGCAGGGAACAATGGAAGTTATTCAAGCTCATGTGAAGGTGGGGGTAGAAAAGGCTTTAGATTACACAGGAAAAGAAGCGAGCAAACATCGCTACGAACACAACAAGTCCAGACATTCACTCTAGGATCCTCAAACTCCTAGAATGAGCCAAGAGAGCTGCTTTCTCTAGAACTTTGCTGCCCTCTGGTGGCCAATGTGCCCACAGCGGCTCCAGACATACATACCTTTGTCCACATATTCATGCCCACTGCTGTGGCCACTGCCGTGGTGGTAGCTGTGAAGTAGGAGAGGGCCATCTGCCTGGTGGAAGAGGAATGTCAGATGGATGGATGCATAGGTGTTGGGAGTATTGTCCACAGTGGCTGAAGCGAGGCCAGGGGCTTCCGTGAGAAACTCTAGTAATGGGGCTTTGGGGCCTATGGTTTGCCTCTAGAACCATCTCCAATTCCCTATCTCCATCACTCAATGCCTGGTACCCTTGGCCCTCCCTCTTTCAGTATCTTAAGCATCACAATTCTTCCTGCCTCAGCCAGCGCACACAGCTGCTCTGTCTATAGAACACTGCTGGGCTCCTACATGCATGGATCCTTACGCTGGACAGTTTTCTGTCAACTTGACACAAGGTAAAGTCATCTGAGAGAAGGGAGCCTCAGTTAAGGAAATGCCTCCAGCCGGGCAGTGGTGGCTCACACCTGTAATCTCAGCACTCGGGAGGCAGGGGCAGGGGAATCTCTGAATTCCAGGCCAACCTGATCTACAGAGCAAGTTCCAGGACAGCCAGGGCTACACAGGGAGACCCTGTCTCAAAAAAACAAAACAGAGACACAGAAAGAGAGAGAGAGGGAAGGAAGAAAATGTCTCCGAAAGTTGGGCTGTAGGCAATCCTTTAGGATTTTGTTGTTGTTGACAGGGTTTCTCTGTGTAGCCCTGGCTACACAGTCCTCAAACTCACTATGTAGACCAGGCTAGCCTCAAACTCAGACATTTGTCTGCCTCTGCCTCCGAGTGGGATTAAAGTCATGTGCCACCACTGCCCAGTTTTTATTTTCTTAATTAGTGACTGATGGGGGTCACTAATGGGGTCACACTGAGGGTGCGGCCACTCCTGGGCTGGTGGTCCTGGGTTCTGTAAGAAAACTGCTGAGCAAACCAGAGGGAGCAAGCCAGCAGGCAGCGCCCGCCATAGCTCTGCATCAGCCCCTGTCTCCAGGTTCCCACCCTCAGTGCGGCTGCTGATGAACTGTTACATCAAACCAAGAGTGAAATAAACCCTTTCCTCCCCACGTTACTTGGCATGGTGGTGTTTCACCAAAGCAATAGTAGCCCTAACTAAGGCAACCCTTCTGTTCTAGTCCCAGCCAGATGCCATCGCTACAGAAGGAACTTCCCAAGGGGCCTGTATGAACAGTATTCATCTCCCTAACAACAGAATGGCAGTCTGAGTGCACCATGTCTGTTTTGCTAGAAGACTTCTCTGCGGGTTTGGGTTGGTGGATTTTAAGACAGGATCTCAGAATGTAGCCTTGGACCTGTTATATAAAACAAGCGGGCCTTGAACTCACAGAGGTCTGCCTGCCAGCCTGTTTAAAAATCTCAAACAAGACTGCTGTTTCACTCATCAGGTACCTCAAGCTTCTAAAACCGTGCCTGGCACATAAACACCCTCAGGACGATTCTGAGACGAGATGGCTCGGTGGCTGTGAGGACGGGCTCCTGTTCTATTTCATTCTCAGCGCCCACACGGGATGACTCATAACCTAACTCCAGCTCCAGGGTATCTAACTCCCGCTCTGGCTTCTGCAGGCTTCTTTACACATGCGGAGAAGAGAAACACAACACACACACAAATAAAAGTAAACCCTGGGGCAGGGGAGATGTAAGAGATGTCTCAGTGGTTAGGAGCACTTTTTTTCCCCTTTGTTTTAGAGACAGGGCCTCGCTCTGTAGCCCAGGCTGGCCTGAAACTCACAGAGATCCCCCTGCCCCTGTCTCCTGGGTGCTGAGATTAAAGGTGTGAACTACTACTCTCAACTTGGTTTTTGTTTTTCATTTTAAAATTACGTGTGTGTACATGCATGCATGCCCATAGAGGCCAGAGGTCAGAAGCCCTTGGAGCTGGAGTCCCTGATACAAGTGCTAGGAACTAAGACCTGGGGGCCCTGGGAGCCCAGTGCACGCTCTTGACTACTGAGCTGTGTCTGAAGCCCAAGAACACGTGCTGCTCCTGCAGTGGACCCAGGTTTGGTTCTGAGCACACACGGTAGCTCACAACCATCCACTACTCCAGTTCCAGGGGACCCAAGGCCTCTTCTGACTTCTGCAGGCACCAGGTGTGCGTGCCGTGCACACACATACATGCAGGTGGGTCTTTATGAGTTCAAAGCCAGTCTGGTCTACATGGTGAGTTCTAACACAGCCAGGGCTACACAGAGAAGCCCTGTCTCAAAAACCAAAATCAAAACAAAAGAAGACTAATATAGTTAAGTGAATGGACATTTAAAAATAGTCTGGGGAGAAGATACTCTCAGTTGGTCTGAATACTTCAAACACTGGGAAACGGTAGTGCAGCCAACCTCCAGAGTAGGCCACACCCAGGAAGGAATGATAGTCCAAGAGTAGAGGGCTGTTCCGGCACAGGAAGAGGATAGCCTACCTGACTGATGTTGGGGAAGCCGCATTCCTGTTGGTGTAGTTGACTAAGGCGTTGAAGGATTGGTTCACCCACTGCCAGAAGATTACTGCAGGCATTGTCCTACAAGCAGGGAAGGCCAGGAGAGATGAAAGAGCGGGCCTGGGGAGTGCGAGGCCCCGTAGCATCTGAAGTTTTCCCTACGCTACCCTCACTCTTTTTTAAACCCGCAGGCTTTGGATGGGATGAGCCCTTGGCCTGGAATAGCCAGCCAGGGCAACATAGTGAGACTCTGCTCAAAATAATAATAATAATAATAATAATAATAAAAGCTGAGGACGGACGGCCCTCTGAGTACTAGGTCTGTTCCGGCGGGAGCAGCTCCTGCAGCTCTGACTGTGGTCGTGATGTACCGTTACTTAGCTGCTAGCATCCATCTAACAAAGGGAAACGGCAGCTGTGAGTGAAAAGCGCACTCATGCAAAGAACTTAACATAGTGCCCAGTACCTGGTAAGTTACTGATCAAGAGGGCTGTTTTGACAGGTGGTTCCCTACTAGCCCGAGCCCCTCCCTCCTCCATCTCAGGACTCACCTGTAGAACTGTAGCATGAAGCCTGTGATGATCATGCCGCCGGGGACCTGGAAGGACATCCGCCCAATGATGTTCATCTTCTCCCCGGTGTCAGGGTGGAAAGCAGAGTCATACAGCTTCTTGGCGTACAGTAGCTGCTCCACCTGAGTGCCAGGGGGCACAAGTCCCATCCTGTCGCCCAATGACAACACCTGACTTGATGATCCGTGTCTCCTAGTCTCCCGGCTGGCCCGTCTTCCTCCCTGCGACCTCTGCCAGCTCCTTCACCCTTAGCTTCTCCCGCCTGGAGAGCCCAGGATGCTGTGCGGCCCCCCAGCCCCTGCCCTGACCACTCACTCACTTACCTGCTCTTCTCCACCACCAGCCTGGCCCAGTCTAGCTCCTGTTCTGATGCAAAGGCAGTGCGAGGATCCGTGATGTTAAAAAAGTGCTTCACGCGCCCCAGGAACGTGCTCTGATCCCAGCGGGGCGCGTCAATGTTAAAGCCAGACAGGTCGGCCTCCATATTGCCCACACACAACCTGCAGACTGAAGAACGAAGGGAGGATGAGAGCTGGCCCCTAAGTTTGTCCCGGAGGCCCTGGCAGTCGGAGACTGCCTGCTTTCGACAGACCCTAGGCGTCCCTGTGATGATCTATGGGGCCCCTATGAATGGTAATCAAACTAAGCCACTGCCGGCAAGTGTTTCCTGGGTCCATGTTAGTGGCTGGTGCCCAGTCTCCTATAGCCTTCCCACCTCACCTACAGCGGCTGAGGGGTGGGACCCCGAAGCATCTGTGGAAAGAGCAGGGCACAGTTTCCCTAGGAGACACACCAGATACTTGTCTGACATCGGCCACTCTCTAAAACTTTGTCGCAAGTGTGCATGGCCCTGTTACTCCTGCTTTTGGATGCTCGAGAATCTACAAGGACAATTCTAATTCCAGTCTGAGTCCAAGATGTACTCTGGCTCCTTCTAGCACAGCTGTGGCCTCTGATGCACCTGGGCAGCCACACTTGGGGAAACAAGGGCATAGGTGGTTGTTTTAAACAGCAGGGCTCTCTCCTTTCAAATGCGTTTGCCTTCTCACTAAGTGGAGCCTTGGGAGGGCAAACCTTTTTATTAACCCAGTGAAAAGGAGCAGGGGTTTCTCTTGAATGGCACTGTCTCGGGTTTACCCTGTTTCCCTGTTTCTCATAGGGTTCTGCTTTCTCTCACTGTAGCGCTAAGATCAGTGAGCAGTAACCAAGCCACAGACTAGATGTTGTCTCAGAGTAACTTAGTCTATTACTTTTAGTTTGGCCTCATTCAAGCTTTCCAGGTATGAGCAGAATGCAGACTAATTGCCAGAACAGAACATGAATGATTTCTAGCCCTGTTCCCAGGGGGCCTTTGTTCCTGCTGGAAGCTCACAAGGTACACTTCCACAGTGTACATTCTCTCCGCTTCCTTAAATTTAACTTTATTTTATGTGCATTGGTATGAAGTATCAGATCCCCTGGAAATGGAGTTACAGACAGTTGTGAGCTGCCATGTGGGTGCTGGGATTTGAACCCAGGTCCTCTGGGAAAACAGCTGGTGCTCTTAACCGCTGTGCCAGCTCTCCAGCCCAAATATTTTTAAATTTAACTTTATTTTATCTCTCTGCTTTCTTATGTTCCAAACCCCAACTAAACGGCTGTGGTGACCTCTTGTTTATAATCTACCAAATAAAGCTTGCCTGAAGATCAGAGGGCAGAGCTAGCCACTAGCTAACCATAGAGGTCTGGACAGACAGAGAGGAAATGAGATGGCTGGGCAGAGAGAGGAACCTAGGAAGAGACAGGAACTCCGACTCTTTTCAGTCTGAGGATTGTATAGAGGTAAGAGCTCTAGCGGCTGGCTTCTCTGAGCTTTCAGAGGTTTACTCCACAAACCAAAGGCCTGCAAGTCATGTGATCAGGTCTAACATGGAAACAGGCTTTCTCCTTACAATTTTGGGTACTGGATAATTTCTTATTGCCCTGACAAAACAAATGATGAAAGTTGCAGGGGCAAGGGAGTGTATTTTGGCTCATGGTTCAACAGAATGCATCTCGCCATGGCAAGGGAGATATGAGGTAGGAAAAGGAGGTCGCTGGGCACATGCATGGTCTTGGCAGCCAGGAGGCAGAGGTGACTGTTGGCGCCTAACTTGCACTGAGCCTAACCACCTGTGTTCATTCTCCAGAACTACACGGTGGAAAGGGGAAACAAACTCTGCCAGTTGTCCTGTGACCTCCACACAGACAGGGTGTCAGGTCCAAAAGAAACCCAGGACAAAGGGCTAACGGTAGTGTCTATTAGTGTTCCAAAGTGTCTGCTGGCCTCCAGGCTCACTCAGTAGCAGCGGCTCTTCTCAGCCCCCTACCCTCAACTCCAGCTCCTGGCCTTTCGTCCCTCAGCTTCTTATTCCTAAATAACACTCCGTTTCAGCCAGCCCCCTCTTGACCCCTCTCTCTTGGTCCTCTCTTCGTCTTCCTCTCTCTCCTCTCTCTTCTCGTGGCCCAGTCCATTCTGGCAGCCATGTTGAGTTTACTACTTTCTCTTCCTGCTCTGGACTCTTCCAGATGCCTCTGACCACTGCTCCACAATGAAAACCTCCTCAGCCGGGCACTGGTTGGCCCATGCTTTTAATCCCAGCACTTGGCACTTGAGAGGCAGAGGCAGGCAAATCTCTTTGAGTTCGGAGGCTCTACAGAGCTAGTTCCAGGATAGCCAGGGCTACACAAAGAAACTCTGTCTCAAAAAACAAAAACAAAAAATGAGAGGGTAATTATGAGAGAAATAGAGGAACAGAGGAAGAAGAAAACAAATAAAGTGGAATAGTACTGATGGTTCCTAGGGAACTCTGATTGACACTCTATTGAACAGCGGTACCCAAGTTCTGAACAGAGACCATAGGCAGAGTTCTGAGCTAGAGTACTTACCCAGCAGGCACTAGGCCTTGGGAGATCTAGGCAGCTCAAAACTCCAGAAGACCAGACCAAAGACCACTAAAACAGTGGACTACTACTGTTAAGATTGCCTGGAGTAAGCTGGAGAACAGTAATAATTAAACCAGTAGGCCCAAACCCATGCTTACAGGCATTGGTCTGACTCCCAGGCAACTGTGATGCCAGATACCACACCTCCAGAAGGAAATCTGAGCTGCCTTTTCTCACAAAAGAGCCCACCCATGTGGAAGAGCAGTAGAGCAATAGATTGAGGGGGGAGGGGCAGGAGGCGAGCTCTCTAAACTAACCACCCACCTGGAATTTACTCTGTAGACCAGGCTGGCCTTGAACTCAGAGCCTTACCTGCCAGGGATTAAAGGTCTATGCCACACCACCTGAATCACCACTCTAGTCAAAATTCAGTATTGACTTTTTTCTCCAAGGGTCTGATGCAAGTGTGCAGGTAGCAGATGTTCTGATATTTTTAAAAACTTCAAGAGTACTTGATCTCACAAAGGACAGGGATTCAGTTTCCAGCATCCACAAGGTGACTGACTCCAGCTCAGGGCACCTAGCCTCACAGTGCACTCACATAAAAGGCAAAACAGTCATATACACAAAATAAACCGTTTTTTAACAGGTTAATACATGAAAGCTAGCAGGGCATCGGGGTTCACACTTTAAACCCAGGAACCAGGAACAGGCAGGTGTGGGGGTTTAAGGGCAGTGTGGTCTACAGTGAGAGCCGGGCCAGCCAGAGTTTTACGTAGCGAGGCTGTGTCTCAAAACAACAAAATACAAACAATAAAAAAAAAAAAACTCTGAAAACCCATTCAAGAAAAATCTTTGTTTCAATATTAACCAGGTTGGTAGGAAGAGGGGAGATGCCGGAAATCCAGATAAAGCTGTTAATAGTATGTAGCACTTCCTTTGTGTCAGGCGATGCTCTGTGTACTTGACATAGGTGACAGGTACACATACATCAGCGACTTCCAGAGGTACCACCTCTATCGAGAGGATCAGCTGTTAGAAAAACTCTGTTTACTGGTATAAACTTATCTGGGGCGAGGAATGCAGTGTAGCTCAGTGGTAGAGGGCTTACCTACCCTGCACAAGCCCGAAGGCAGAGGGCACTACTTACCTGGGCCACAGTGTTTACAAGCAACACTGTAAAACTGTTAACAAGTTAGTTCGTGTCCCTACTCTATCACCTACAATAACTAACTTCTGGAGTTGTACGGAAATAAATTGTGTATATAAAGATTCCACTAGAAAGAATACAATTTCTACTAAGGCAGATTGTACCAGTGTCGAGAACCTGGCCTGGCACATTGGCAAAGGTAACTTTCCAAAAATCCTGTAGCCCTTGCGTGGCTTAGCAAAATCCGGTGGACCCCAGACAGCTCCAGCTGTCAGCTAACCTCGATGCTAGCGACCGGTTCCCGATCTCCCCGAACCCAGCAGAAACCACCTATTCTGCATTCTAACCAGACTGAGGAGATAGTGGCGCAGCCCATAAGTCCGGTACCCCAGAGCCTGACACCCGAAGACAACGGGGCTCAGAAGCGAGGAGTCCATTGGAGCTGTGGTCCGTCCCACCCGCCACGCGGCTTCTGCAGAAGAAAGTCCGGCACTCGTGCCTGGCAGCCCCAACAGAGCAGAGGCAGGCTCCCTTCGGAGACGCGGAGACTGGGAGTAGCCGTGCAACCGGCTTGCACTTGGGGCCCCTTACCTGGTCCCAGAGGGATGCACCCTGAGACACCCACCAGGTTAGCTGACTTGGAAGGTTGAACTGGAGTACCGCGGCTAGGCCGGGGACCTCCCCCTCATACTACTCCCCCTTTTCTAACCAATCACAGGCCACAGGCTCCCGCCAGCCACGTGGGCGATCTTGTCCCTCCTGCTGGGTCTCATGCCAGCCCGCCCTGGCCTTCCGCCACTCCCAAGACCGCCTGCGCAGTAGGAGAGCGCTTTGGTGCGCTTGCGCACTTTGGGCAAAGAGGAGCAGAACCCCGCCCCATCCCGCTGCTCTGCTCCTCCGCTGAGCGTGCGAGGGACGTCAGGGGCGGTGCCGCAGCAGTTACCCCTGGTAACGGGGGAGGCAGAAGGAGGAGGAGGCGGAGGAGGAGGGACTCGGCTTGAGGATGGTGAGTGTGGGGGACCTGATCCCTCTGGACCTGGACAGTCACCCCACCACCCCCCGCCTCCTGTCCCCAGGTCCAAGGCAAGGCGCCGCGCTTAAGGCCAAGGGGACGTAGGATGGCGCTCGCCTTGCTATCTAGGGTTCTAGATCGGTTTCGGGGGCGAAGGGGGAGCCCCAAAGGTGGGCCCTGGAGGGAGGCCTAGGCCTGGGAGGAAGGAGGGATTCGCAGTGAGTCCGAGGCTTGGGGAAGGGACTTGTAGAGTGCTTGGCTGGAGGGGAAGGAGCCTGGGCTCCATCATCTTTCTGGGCACTGGGATGGGATGAAGGCGGCTCCGGGGAGCTGAGGAGGAGATCAGGCCAGATACACAGGCTTAGATTTTCCTGCGGAGTCGACCTCTCGGCGCCTCGGGACTGTAGGGTCTGAAACCCGGACAGAAGTGGGAGAGGCGCGGTGCTACTGCCTTTGAGATCACCCTGGCGGCACCAGGGAGATGTAACCTAGCTTTCCGAGATGCTGGCGTCTCTGAGTGAGGTGTGCAGGGACTAAGTCCCAGGACAAAAAGAGATACCACTGGGAAAGAGATACCGCTGGGAATGAATGCCTGATTTCACATCTCTATGGTGGGTGTGCTCCTGCTGAAAGTTCTGCACGGTCTAATGGTTGTTGATGAGCGATTTTTCTTTCCATATTTATTCCATGCTGATAGAAGCAAATTAGCCTCCCGTGTCTTATCATTTCCTTCAAACTTGTTGCAATGTCCTTTTGCTGTGGCCGCACAAAAGGTCTTCTTACCAATCAGGCCCCTCAAACTAAAAAGAACGAGAAACTGTAAGGAGTGGGCATCAGCTTGAAAACAAGCCTTTTCTCCGTTAGCCATGATTAAGGCTTTTCCAAATTGTAAGTTACGGTATGTGACAAGATTTAACCGGAGACAGTCCCTTGTTGATATTTTTTTTAATTATTATTTTATGTGTTTGGGTGTTTAGCCTGCATAAATGTTTTTGCACCACGTGTGTGCCTGGAAGACATCTTTTGGTCGCCTGGAATTGGAGTTACAGATGACTGTGAGCCAGCGCGTGGATGCTGGGAAGCGAACACTGTTCCTTTGGGAGAGCATCAGTATTGCTGAGCGTCTGTCTATCCAGCTCTCCTTGTTGATCTGTAGGCGGTAGATGGAGAGTAAAAATAAAATTAAGGGGAAATGAATACTTTTAGAGTTAGTCAAAGAAAACTTGATTTTAAGGCATTTAGGGTAGGTTGGTTGGCTTACTGACTGCTGTGAACTGCTTCCTATTGCTTCCCTCTACCCCTCATTATTTTTGTGAAAATATTGAACTATCTCTGTTGACTTCAGACGAAAAAGCTCAGGTGGGAGAGGTTTGTTTAGCAGGCACAAAGCTCTGCATAAAATGTAATGTGATAGTACCTGCCTATTAATCATCCCAGCACTCCAGGGACAGAAGCAGGAGGATCAGAAGTTCAAGGGCTACCTAGTGATTTCCAGGCCAGCCAGGGGTACCTGAGACCTGGCCACAAAAGAAGAGGAAAACTACACATCTCCTTTTGGTCAGTGTGTGTGGGTGTGCTTTGTTTTGTTTTTAGAGACAGGGTTCCTTTGTGTAACCTCGGCTGCCCTAGAACTAGCTCTGTAGACCAGGTTGGCCTCAAACCCATGGTCAGATTACTGAATGAGAAAATTTTGACCAAAGAAATAAATAAATGCACATTGTCAGATTGTTAAGTAGAATTATTTAATCTAAGATTGTCAATCACATTTCACACTTGTTACATTTACAGTTATTTCTAACCTCAGGCTAAACAGATTTTAACAAGTGTTTTCTCTGTATTATTTATACATGAGCTGTCCATTTAAAGGCTAAGTTTATCTTAACAAATGAGTTCATAGATAAATATTTACACAGAAAATAAATGTATTTGAGAAAGTGGTCATGGCTGCTCACATCTATAACCTCAGCACTTGGGAGGTAGAAGGAGGAGGGTCAGCAACTCTGTCTCGTAATAAATAGATAATTTAAAAATTAATGAAAATAATTAGAACTGTGATGTAAAAGGCATGCCAGGCTCGGTGTGGTGGCTCATGCTTATAATCCCAGGATGCTAGATGATAAATTAAGAGGATCACCATGGGTTAAGAGGCCATCCTGGGCTACAGTTAGTTCCAGGTCAGCCTCAGCTGGAGGGAGACCCTGTCCCAAATGCCATTCCCTTAAAGGGAAGAGCCACGTACCAAACCAAGAGAAAATGAGATTTGTTACAAATGAGAAACATGAGAGTTGTCTAACTTTCTTCATTTTATCATTTGAGTGGACTGTTTAATTTCACGATTGCTTAATTTATAACTAATTACAGGTCATAATAAATAAACCACTGCGCATGTTTCTAGGTGCAAATTGGCACTGTTTGTAAGTATTTAACAAATTGACCTTGTGCATACAATATTGTTAGGTACAACTAAAGTATTCAATTCTCAAAAAATTTTTTTGAGAGTTTTGCGTTAGAGCATGTATGTGCACTCTGGGCATGCCTGGCTCTCAAGGAGGTCAGAAAAGGGTAATGGATCCCCCGGAGCTACAATCAGCTGTGAGCCACTGTGTGGGTGTTGAGAACTGAGCCCCAGCCCTCTACAAGAGCAAGTGCTTTTTTAATTATCTATTTTATTTTCTGTGTGCAAATATTTTGCCCATGTGTGTGCATATGTACCGTGTGACTTTGTGATGGCCTCAGAAGTCAGAGGGTGGCTCCGGATCCTTTGGAACTGAAGTTGTAGGTGGTTGTGAGCTACCTTGTGGGTACTGAGAATGAACCCAGGTCCCCTGCAGGAGTGACAGTGCTCTTATCTGCTGAGCCAGCTCTCTAAGTAAACAATAAGAAAGTAGGGTTGTGGGGTGTGGTACTGCACACCTTTAGTCCCAGCACTTAAGAGGCAGCAGCAGGTGGCCAACCTGGTCTACATGGTGAGTTTCAGGCTAGCCAGGGCTGTGTTGTATACCCCTCCATCACAAAAAAGAATGAGGAGGAGGAGAGGGAAGGGAAGGGAAGAGAGAAAAAAAACTAGGACAAATTAGTTGAGATTATCTGATTTTACAAATCCTTTTTCTTTCTTCAAACGTGTAAGTTATTCTTAGATCTGGAAGTAGAACACTTGCGTTTAAACGGTCAGTGTCATGATTAAGTGTGTCACATATAGTATCCCATGAGCCCTATGCTTAACTGTACAATTGAGAAGTGAGCGCTACCCGGCATAGAGACTCACCTTTAACCCCTGCACCTCTGCGAGATCGAAGCCAGCCTGGTCTACATAGCAGGTTCCAGGACAGCCAGGGTTACATAGTGAAATCCTGTTTCCAAAAACAAAACAAAAACCCAGCTTGTATGTGTTTTAAATTTTAGCTGTGACTAATTTTTTTTTTTTTTTCTTTCTAAAATTGAGTGAAACAAAAAAACATTCTGAGCTTCCCTGAATATTTAGGGTCAGCTGTTTCACCTGGCCTTGGAATCACATTCTCTCTCTCTCTCTCTCTCTCTCTCTCTCTCTCTCTGTCTCTCTCTCTCGATACTTATTGTGTGTGTGTGTATGTGTGTGTGTTATATAAATATTAAATATGTATGAATGTTTTGCTTGCCAGAAGAAGGCATTTTATTCCCTGGACCTGGAGTTATGAATGGTTCTTAGTCACCATCTGTTTGCTGGGAATGAAACCCAGGTCCCCTGAAAGAAAGAGCAACAGGGGCTGGAGAGGTGGCTCAGGGCTTAGAGCACTGGCTGCCTTTTCAGAGGTCCTGAGTTTGATTCCTGGCAACCACAGGGTGGCTCAAAACCATCTCTAATGAGATCTGGTGCCCTCTTCTGGCATGCAGGGACACATGCAGACAGAATGCTGTGTATGTAATAAGTAAATAAATCTTTAAAAAAGAAGTTTTTAAAAGGATTAGGTACATAGTTCAATGGCAGTGTTCTTACCTAGGATGTTTAAGGTTCAATCCCTAGTGTTTTAGGTTTTTGTTTTGTTTTGTTTTTTCATTGAGACAGGGTTTCTCTGTGTAGCCCTGGCTGTCCTGGAACTCACTTTGTAACCAGGCTGGCCTCTAACTCACAGAGATCCACCTGCCTCTGCCTCCTGAGTGCTGGGATCATTAAAGGTGAGCACCACCAAGCCAAACTAATGCTTAGTATATGCACTGTGCACACACATCCCCCCCCCCACACACACACATAGGCACACCCCATCCCCTCCCCCACACAGCCTCAAATGGAAAGAAAAAAACATGCAGGACTGGCAGTATTTATCCCCAGCTCTTACAGATATATAAAAAGAAAAGTGTTACTGTTGTTTTGAGTGGCTTCTGTGTGCCCTGCCTTACAGAATGTCCTTATTTAATCCTCTTGGTGGTTCTCATCAGAGGTGATCATTGCGCTCTTTGTCTGCATGAAATGGCTGGCGGGATTCCCACACAGGGCGGCTGAGTGCCTATAGTCATCAGAGGCCTCGGTTGGAAGAAAACACAGTCTGAGTGCTTGGAGGTGGCCCAGTGAGTCAAGGGGCTGGCCACCAAGCCGCAGAGCTGTGTGGGATCCCCAGGGCCCATATAGTGGAAAGAGGGAGGGCACTGACTGACACTAGCTTCCTGCCGGCTTGCACAAGCACTTTGTACTAAGCACACACCCATACACACACAGTGCACACACATGAAATAAGTAAACAAAGTTTTAAAAAGTGATTGCAAAGAAGAAGACAGAATTGAAAGTTCTCCCTTTCACATGAGTA